AGTCTGAGTGTCAGCCTTCTCATTGAACGTGCTTTTTTATTTTTCAATGTTTATGTTCATGATAGTGCGTTACTTTTTTGTTGTTATTATTAACTATTTTTAAATCTTACGTGACATGCCGTTGTGGCTGGATAAAAGTTTGTATTTATTTTTCAAACACCTTCGTTTGGTAGGTAGGAATGTAGCTATTAACAAGTACGTACTAGTAATATTAGTTATTTTGTTATTAGTTTATTATTAGTACCTATGTATTACCAGTTAAATACTAAAATAACTACTTATAATGATAAATTAACTGTGGATTATTTCATTTACGTTGCGTTACGTGGCTTCCGTGTGGGTAGCTCGCTGTTTATTCCAAAATTAACAAAGTAGCTCAACACATTGAGAGGTTGGCGACCACTGCTCTAAGCTATTAAATATCGGACATTCAAAACTGCATCCCGAATCGGTCAGGTAGAATTTTGAATAACGAAACTGCATCCTCGGTGCAAATTTTATTACTACTAAAATTCTACGAAAATTTAACCAGTGTTGTCAAATGTAATTTTTGAAAGTAAAAGAAACATACATAAAAGGTACTTTATTTAAGCATTACCAAAAAAATGTTAGAAAATGGGACGAAACTTTCGAGGAGATTGCCTTTTTAAGTAGTAAATAATGGTCAATCCGTGGAGCTTTGGAGCTCCCTATGAGCCAAAATAAGCAAAAGTGAGCTTTATATCCATTGAGACTTTTGCTGAAGATGCCGAAACGAACACCATATCCAAATTTCAGCCAATTTGACCGGGAGCCAATTTCCATAATATTTGTGCGGGGTTCTTTATCGTTTATTTGTATAATTTATTTAAGAGCTATGCGAAAATACGATCGTATTTTTATAATAAAAAGTTTATAGGTACCTGGGTCTGTATTGTTTTTGACCGCACACACGAAATTTTGGCCTGGAAGTTTCGTCCTATGTTGTGATTCAGGAATTTGTTTCCGGAGCTGGAAAATCTGATTTGTTTTTGCTGTGATGAATTTTCCGATCTTCACTGCGTTTGATAATGAAAAAAAAAAAAAACTTGTGTTTGTGTTCTTCTATCAGGTAAAGCCGGCTACTCACTACGCGTTACTTGCCAAGTACTTGCCAAGTACTTGCCAAGTACTCTGCAAGTACCATGTAATGTGTATGGAGACTTGTATAGACTCAGCAAGTTACTTGTACTTCCCGTCGGTTGTCGGTAAACGGACCGAAGTCAAAGGATCCGATAAAGTTACTACTACTACTTTAGAAGGCGCGCGTAATGTAGAGGATTTACTTGTACTCGAACAAGTACTTGCCAAGTTCAGTCCAAGCCAAGTAACTCGGCAAGTAACGCGTAGTGAGTAGCCGGCTTTAGAGTTTTTCTTTTTCTTTTAAATTCCTTTACATTTATTTATGTATTTATTTATTTTTCTCGTTACTATGGAGACATCATTTGTTTTGTTTAGAAGTTGCGAGATGTTCACAGGGCAAGTGATATTTCTCAAGTCCTATTCTCAGCCGGCGTTTTCGGTTTTATCAAAACCGCTTTTCAAAGCCTTCTAGATGTAAAATTTGAATAAAATTCCTTGAATTTCATACGGGGTTAACCAAAAGATTCTTTGTTCCAAAATTCTTTTTTTTATCTAATTTTATGCACCTTGACTATATTACATAATTCACTTAATGTGTTTTCCAAATTTCATGACTCTTTGTTATTTAATAAAAAAGATATTTGCGATTAAACATTTACAAAATTTCAATTAACAAATTACTTTTAACTTATTATTACTTATACCTATTATCATAAATCATGATGGTAATTGTTCTTTTATTGTTGAATTTTTATTAAGGATTTATTTTGTTAAAAGTTCTTTGTTGTTACATTTTTCTTGATTTTAATTTTGAAATATTTATAGAAAGAGCGTAAACCTGTTGCGGAGTTATTACCAGTGTTTCTACTAAAGAACTTTAAATTATCCGCGAAAAGAAGGCATTGGCTATTAAGAAAGCAGGACGTAACATCATTAAAGAATAAGGAAAACAATAGGGAACCTATATGTGAACCTTGAGGAACACCGGATAGGACTGAAACATCACATGATACGGAATTATGCACTATGATACGTTGACAACGATTACTCAAATAAGATTTAATCCAGTAAAAATAAGAACCAGTGATACCAATTTCGGAAAGTTTCTTGAGTAGCAATTCATGACAGATACTGGCCGCATTCAGCAGAAGCAACCGATTATCAAACGATAACTTAGCGATGACTTATCGATTAGTGAATCTCCTGAATGAACTTTTTAGGCACTTCGACAGGCGACATAAAAGTGACATGTACTTCAGAAAAAAGTCATCATCTAAAACATAGGTACAAAATTTAGAATAAAATACCAACTAAATTACTCAACTACATAATTATAAATTAATGTATTTGCCTGATTTTAATGCATTGTACAACACTTCATTACCAACTACAATATATTTCATATTGTTATAAACATATATCACTTCAAAGTCCTTCATTTCAGTTAAAAATGACAAATTCGGTGTAAAAATGAATTCAAAATAAACATAAAATAAGGTTATGAGTTATGAGCACCACCACAAAACATTCACTTCAGTTGGTATGAGTTCTAAATCTAATCACGATGTAATAACTAATCGTATTTCAAATTCGATGTTTTAAATGGCGGCCTATAACTCATCATTTGATTACTAATCGCTCTTTTATATATCATTCTGCAGAAAATCATAAATCGATTGCTTCTGCTGAATGCGGCCACTGTAAAAAGCTTCTGACAGATCGGTGTAGATGGTGTCAACCTGATAACCATTTTGAATTGATGAAATTAAAAAGTCTTGATAGATTGCCAGATTAGTTGATGTCGAGCGACCTTGATAGAAGAGATATAGTTTTTTATAAGTGTAAAACATTTCATTTGTTTCCAGTGGTTCCCAACACGAGCGGTACCGATCAAAGGTATGCGATGAAGAGAGCTAAGGACAATTTTTGATCCAATGCAAATTAAGGTGGGCATCAAGGAACAACTGTCGCCCCCTGGAAAACAATCAAAGTACTCGATAGAAATTTTTTTTTCGAAATGTGGGTGGTAGGCCAAAAAATATTGAGCACCTTTAGATCATACATATATACAGTTTCAGTAGACTAATAAACAGCAAGACAGTAATAATACAAACTTTATTACAGTTATAATAAAATAAAAAACGATTTATATACAAAATTTATTAAATAGAAATATTATTTTACTAATTAAATACATAATCAGACTTTCGATGTTTAAATAAAAATTGTAAATTCTGAGTATCACAAATAATTCATTTAATAATAGAAATTAAATTTACAATTTACAATATTCATACATTTCAGTATTCGTATAGGTATAATTCGGAATTTAATATATATATTTAATTAACACATATTTTTTTTCAAAATGCAATGCAAATAACATTTTAAAAAATATAGTTTTTTAGTAATATGCGTTGGTAGCTAATAAAATAAATAATATTGATAATTAATTATAAAGCAAAAACATAAAAAACTGCAAAATAAATTTTTTAATAAAATGTAATAAATTAAAATACGCAGTTATATACCTTCCACTATATTTTTATTCTTTAAATGATGTACCGCCATCTTCTGTTATTATTAAAAGATTCGTCATCTTTAGATTATTTGAAAATGCATAATAGGACAGTTTTTATGACTAAAAGTAAATATTTATACCTTATCTGAATTTTCACTAGATTTTAGTATGACCAACCCAAAAAATCTAGAATACAATACATCATAAAATGCAAATGAGCAAATCCTAAGGGATTAACCAATAATTCTATACCTCAGTGACGAAGAACTCGAAATTTCTTTAATACAAAAAATAGTAAACTGTCAATATTAAGTACTCACATTTATATTAGGTTAGGACATTACATAGGTACCTAAATAAATAAGTCGTTTTCTTTCATCAGTTTCCTCACTTCCCATAGAAATAATTAGTTCTATTGTTTCCTCTATTAACATATCAAGTTTTCAGAATTTCTCTTCCTCTGCTATGCCATGTCTTATAGCATTTTGTCAATTATCCGTTGAAAATTTTTGATATGGAGTCACATAATAGTTAAAGAACATCTCGAAGTTTAAATGTTGCATTGTTTCTCGCGACATATCCCTTCGTTTGAGACCAGATTAATTCAATGGTGTTAAGCTCACAGTATTAAGGTGATAACCACAACACTTTAACTTCATGTTCTTTTGTAGGAGAGAGTAAAACATGTACAGTCTGCTTCAGAAACACTGAAACTAAAACAAAACAGTTTCATTTCGACGAAACGGTTTGATTTTTTAATGTTTCAACTGTGTACTTATTACAGTCGCAAAAATAAAACTAAAATAAAAACCCTATTGAATATCAATCAACCTTATTTTATCATTGTTTCATTTATTAAAAATAACAGGTCACAGAATCCATAATATTCATTATTTAATAATAAATATCAAGTTGTTCCATTATTACTGAGGGCTAGTCTGTGACTGCTATACTGCAACAGGCAACTGTTACAGTAATTACTATTAATAATGCCAATGCCTAATAATTTGTTGCAGTTTCACGCAATTTGCACTCAGCGACTGTGACAACGCAATTGGCGCTCAGCGACTGTGACAGCAAGTAGCAACTTAAAATAATAAACTGAATCGTGAATCTCCGTCACTCCATCCAATCATGATCAGATTGAAACAAATGTTTCGTGGAACTGTTTTGTGATTCGATGCATACTTGTTCCAATCTGTTCCAAGTAAAAACCTGTTTCAAAAATAACAGATACTGATTCAGTGACACAACCCTATTGTTTTGGTCTTTCATACTTCTTAAATTTTGATAAATGTTGTTTACGTAGCTTTTTTTTTTTGAGTAATTCCTCTTCAGTCACTATTTCTTTGGTTATTAGCCAATCATAAAGTTTTTGCTTTTTCCATTTATTGTTAGGTAACGGTTCCTTTAATCTTAAATGGTAACTGGCATTGTCCATAACTATTACAGAATTACATAACGGGGTACAGGCTAACAAGATAGTCTTGCAAGGAAAGGGACTCAAACACCCTTTGTAGGACCTGAGTCGTTCTGCGGTATCACCTAATATTAGGACATATTATAAAAGAATTGGACAGTAGAAGAACCTCTGGGGACTGAGGCAGGCTAAGATACTTCTGAGTGAATATAACCAGGAAAGATCAGAAGCCTGCATCTGCCCGAGCAAGAACAGGCTACGTATTGTAACAGGGATCCTTACCGGGCATTGCGGACTAAAAGGATACCTTAGTAAACAGAGTAGTAGAGTATAGTGAGTGCAGATTCTGTGAGGAGGAGGAGGACGACACTTCCAGTCACATTCTAACTAAATGTGTAGCACTCCAGAATACAAGGGTACCATACCTAGGAGGATATCAATAGAAGAAGAAGATTTACCAAACGTAAAGCCACTCCAAATCCTACATTTCCTTGAGAAGATAGGATTGGAAGGGTCGTCATAAAAATTGAAACATTTCCTTTGTGTATTAGCGAAAGAAGGAAGCACAATAGATCTTTTAGGTCGCAGTGTATTAACACCCCATTCCCAACATACCATAACATACCATTTGGAAGTTTTAAGCCAGTAGACAATCCTTCTATAAATGTCTAATAACATTTGTAGCCTATCTTGCCAAACTTTTTTTACAAAATGTCCTTCATTTATCCATGTTTCAACCAAATAAAAAATATTTTTGTCTTCTCTTCCTAATTTTCCAATTTCCCTTAAATATTGCCTCTTCCAACAAATAATTTCTTTTTTATGAGCGCAGATTTTTTATAGTACATCTCCCAAACGAAGTCTAATTCATGTAAAGTTTTTCATAATTTGTCTCTTTTACGTTTAGCAATGTTTCGTCTTCGTTAATGTCTAGTAAAAGTTTATCCAAAGTAGGTAAATCTTTTTGTAAATAAAGCAAATGCACTTTTCTTTGGATCAGTTGTTTCATGGTACCTTCTATTTAAATGAGGTTTTTTCCAGTTGACGTTTTAGGTGCTACTGTAATATTTTCATCCTTTCGTTGCTTTAAAAATCTATAAATGGTTGCTTGTCCAACTCCGGTCATATTTGAAGACTTAAAAACTATACTCCAAAGAGTACTATTGAAATGTTCATGTACAAGAGCGTCATTTACATTTAACAGTAAAGTTTTCATATACTCAGTTAAATTGCACTTTAATGCAGGAGTATAAATAGATGTTTGTACCATTTTTATTGCACACATCCACTTAATTAATATCGCTTTTTATCGCTTATTAATACAGAACTAACAATTATGCGTATTACAATCACAAGAATATACAAGCAGAAATGTAAATCTTAACTAAAATAAATTAAAATCTGAATAACACTTTCTGTCCAAATATAAATTTTAATCCTTTCTAAAAAAGTTGAGGGTAACTTAAATTGATCTTAAATTGAAAATATTTTTTACCTGTAGAAATTACTAACTTAAACATATTTTTGTTGAATAAAATAACTAGAAAATTTAAGAAAAGAATTGAAATAAAAAGGCATGTTTAAAAATTTTAGGAAAAAATTCAAAGATTTGAATTTATAACAAATAATTCTAAACATTTTATTTTAGAAATTCTTCGTCACTGATTTATGATGTTATATTGGGGTTTATTTCCTGGGTCATAAAAATTTTCAAATAAACTATAGAAATATTTAAAATATTGTTTTGCCTAAGCCTTGCTCTTTAATCTTGTTGTTGGTATCGTCCTATTTTCTTCTCTTCCTTCTATTTTTTATTCTTCATTTTTCATATTAGATTTTGATGTAGGTTGGTCACATTTAACTGTAGTAGAGTACTTTAATATTTCATATAAGTACTACATTGTCTTTAATACATATTTTCTGTTTTTTTTTATATATATAAATTTTAAATTCAAATGCTGTTTCGTTATGTTTACTATTTTATTGAATAATTTTTGGCCTTACAGATACTAACAAGGTTGTGAGTAATATCACCATATCTCAACCTTATTTTTTTACCTGAATTAGGTTAAGTACTTAAATTACCAATAATTGCATTCATGGGTTAAAGAGCACGATACACTCAAGGTGAAGCTAAACCAAATATATTTTAAAGATCCCAGAATCTTCTTGTTAATATAAATTAAACTTAATAATAAGATAAAGACATAAAAATATAGGGAAGTGATCGTCTGTTTCATTTATCTCACTCAAAATGTCTAACTTCATTTTTCTGAATATTCAGTTACCGAAAACTTTCAAAACAAAATTTCTTTTGAACGAAACAAAGTTATCAGCCAAATTACGACAATTTCTCAAAAAAATTGGACATTTTAACTCTTCTTTTAAGCAGTAGGTGTTTCAATTACACTTTTAGGCTTTTCTCCTTTCAACAGTATCTGAATTTCCTCCAAAGTTTTTCCCTTGGTCTCAGGTATAAAAAATATAGTAAAGAAAGTAACAAACAATGAAAAACAACCAAATACATAAAAGGGAATATGAATACCAAAATCATTAGCTACAGCTTGATAGAAATTAATAGCGATTATCCCACCAATTATGAACATAGAATCAGATAAGGTCATTCCTAAAGCCTTAAGGTTAGTGGGAAAAATTTCAGCTGTAACTACTATTGGTACTATACCTACACCAATTTTAAACACCAACGCGTATACCATTACGGACACAATTGGCACCCAACTGAAAGTTAACATATTATAACCCATGTGCTGTAAATTAAAGTAAACTGCAACACAAAGTAAGCATATGCCTGTAAGTATACTTGAAAATATAAGCAGAGCTTTTCTTCCATAATTATCCATTTGAGTTGAAGCGAAAATTGTTGATATCAACATCAAAGCTGCAAAAAGAATGGCAGCATGCGCACTATCCATGTAGTTTGTACCAGCGGCATCCAAAATTGTATGTAAATTCATCAAGATCACAGAGTAAGCACATAGATGTTGGCCAGCATTTAACACAGTCATAATTATTAAACCTTTTCGGTTACTAGACACTGTAAATATATCTACAAATCTTCCCTTATCTTTTAACTGGTTCTCTAAAAGTTCAGATATTTCTTGTAATTCTTTGTCCGCATCACAGTATGGTTTAAAGAATTTTATTGAATCCAGGGCTTCTTCAGGTTTATTCTTTGATAGTAAATATAATGGACTTTCAGGCATTCTAGAAAATACTAGTAGTTCTACAATTGCTACTGAACCACCAATAATGCAGGGTACGTAAAACGGCAAATAGGGCCCCACAGAATAAACTATCAAGCAACCTAATAACATCATAACGTAGATAATACTACTTAAAAATCCTCTTATTTTTGAATCTGCTATCTCTGCAATATAACACGGAGCAGCAACAAATGCCATGTTTCCGCACATTCCGCAAAAAAATCTTGCTACGAACAGATAGATCATATTGGTGGCTACTCCTATTGCAATCCATGCGAGTAGTACAACAAACGATGCTAACAGCAATGACTTTTTTCTACCAATTTTGTCTACTAGGTATATGGTAAGTGGTAAACCACAGAAGGATCCCATTAGAAAGCAGGTTTCCAGCAATTCGGCTTCATGTATATTGGTTTCTATGTGACTAATTTCGCTAATTAAATAAGGGATATAGGGAGCACTCCAACCATATGTCATACCATCTGATATTGCAAATAGGGTTCCTAAAACAAAAAAAGAATAGTAAGTAAATATAATTATTTAGAAAAAATAAATTCCAATTCTTAAATAAACAGTAAAGGCAAAAATGAAAGACTCAAAGTCCTTGTCCCTTAAAAAAACAACTACTTCTTTAGCTAATACCGCAACAGGTATTGTATTATATCAAAAGGTGAATAGCAGGGATAGGAAATAATTTTCATCACTCCAACTTTAATTTTGCTTTCTTGGACCGGTTTTATACTTTTTAGGACTCTTCAGCAATAAATATACAATTTTGACATTATAAGCAATTGAGAGTGTGTAGATATTCAACAAGCAAAGAGGGAAAGGCCACCTGTACTTGGGAAGCAAACTCAAACGTGATTATTTAAATTCAAGTATGAATAAGTTAACCCATGAATCCTTTAAAATAAAGATGAGACGCTCAATAATTTTTGCACGTGAGTGAAATCAAGAGACTCTGGTAAATAAAGTTTTTGCCTTGATTGGACAGATGTGTACATTTCTACCACTAGTGAGTTAGCACGCACTATTCTACCTCATTTGTATTAAATTAATGAAATATGTATTAAAAAATCAAGGTTTCTTAGAATAATAAATACTGGAAATATGTGATATTTTGCATTTTGTTTGCATTTTGACGGGTAATACCATTAAAATTATTTTAGATTTTCTACGTATTCCTTTGACAACACGTTGAGTGCAATAACTTATGTCCCAATATTAAAGTTGTATTATTCAACAGATTATATCACGAAGTGGTTGTCAATTATAAAAATGGGGCACAGAGTAAAAATAAAACTTTATTTTGTAAAAGCTACAGAATGACTAATATAAATATTAAGTAACAAACTAACGTTAATTCATATCTCTAGGAGACAGTAACAATAATAAATTTAAACACTAAAACACATAATATTAATAAAGTTTAATTACATAACTGACAAAAGTTGACAGTGTTTAACTTGCAAATCATTTAAATGTTTATCATTGTTATGTAGATTCCATAAAAATATCACCTCGTATTTATTTATAATAAATTGGAATGCAGGCTTAGCTTATGATTAAAAAATATAGATATATGCAAATATGTAATCTTAAAATGGTTAAAGAAATTATTAACATTTTATTGACAATTTACTTACTAAAAGTGTTATCTTTAATCTATATAAAATAATTCACTGAAAACACGCCATGAATTAATGTATAGTAGCTATATACTATAATTATTCTGCATTTATAATCGTAGATACTATGAGCATTTTTTTTTTGGTATTTTTAATAAACTACTTTTGAAAAAAAATGGCCAAGTTACCAATTCAAAAGATAGAAACATTAAATAGATGTACAGGGTGATTCTTTTATCATGGGAAATGAGTTTTTCTCGTAAATGGCTGCAGCAAATTGGGTTCTGTAAAAAGTATTTTATTTGGGCTGGTTATTGCTTGAAATTGGGATGGATAAGGAAGTTATAAATAAACGACGCTGGGCGTCGCGACGCTTTAATTTTTTTTTTGTCAGAAGCATACCATTTTTATTTCAGAAATTGAAAGATCTATTCAATAAAAACACTTTTTTTAAATATTATTTTTTTCCATCTAAAACCATTCAAAAATTACAGACCAGTTTTTATGTTCCAAATTTCTAGATTGCCATACAAAGAATGCATGGTATTTTAAATTTCACTAAATCAGGTAGGCGTTGAAAAAACATAATTGGCTTATATTGATTGATGTCTGAAACTGTCAGTGTAATTTCAATTATTCCTATTAAAATAGTGAGTAATAAGAAATATGTTTACACATTCAGATAAAGTTGACATGCTTCTTTTATACGGAGAAGCCCAAAAAATGGTTTAGCTGCAAGAAGATTATATGCGGAAAAATACCCCGAACGCAACCTTCCAGACCACAAAATGTTTGCCAGGTTAGAAACTAGTTTACGTCAAAACCCTAAAGCATTTGAAGGTAGGTTTTGTGTTTTTTAATAAATCCCCATAAATTCAATGAGCCAAATTTGCAGGTAAAAGATCAAGAACAAAAACTGTCACGACGGATGAAAATGTGGCAATTATTTTAAATTATTTTAACAATCACCATGAAGCTTCTATAAGAGAGGCTTCAAGAGACTTAAATTTAAATTATAGTGTGATACAAAGAGTTTTAAAAAGCAACAAATACCATGACTATAAATTTCATAATTTGCAAGAACTTTCGCTTAGAGATTTTGAGAGGAGGAAGGATTTTATTTGTCAGTTTTTGGTGTCTTTGGATGACAATCCTAATTTATTTTCTCATATACTATGGACAGACGAAAGTCATTTTGTTAGTCATGGATTACCAAACAAAAAAAATACCCATTATTGGTCAGACGAAAACCCGCGCAAAATCAGACAACATCAAATACAGGGCCACTTTGGCATAAACGTCTGGTGCGGAATAGTCGGGCGGCACTTAGTAGGGCCATACTTTTATGAAGGCGCCTTGACGGGCCCAAGATACTTAGATTTTCTCCAAAATCACCTTCCTCTTTTGCTGGAACATGTGCCACTGCAAATCAGAAGAAACTTATGGTTTCAACTAGATGGAGCTCCTTGCCATAATGCGGTCATTGTTCAAAATTATTTGAATGAAGTCTACCACGGAAGATGGTTGGGGACACACGGGCCCTTGAAATTTCCGCCTAGATCTCCGGACTTGACACCCTTAGATTTCTTTTTATGGGGAATTTTAAAAAATATAGTGTATAAAACAAAATCTAATAATTTAGATATTTTAAAACAAAAAATTATTGATGCGTGCAATGGAATATCTGGTGATGTTTTAAGAAAAGTTACATCTTTCGAAACAAGAAAGCGGTACAATTTATGTGTGGATAACGATGGCGCATATATCGAGCAATTGTTAAAATAAGATTTGTGAATTAGCAATTAATTTTTACTAAATACAGTTCATGTTATTCTTTAATGTTTTATGTATGTTTTATGGGTTGTTAGTGTAAACTTTGATTATTTCCTAAACAATTACATAAGTGTTATTAAATGTAGGAACATCTTGTAAATTGTTTTCTTTAAATCCTAAATTATATTTGTTGTCAATATCAGCATAAAAGTTAGCCTGCCTGATTTAGTGAAATTTAAAAACCCAGCATTTTTTGTATGGCAATCGACAAATTTAAAACATAAAAACTGGTATGTAATGCTTGAATGGTTTTAGATGGAAAAAAATGGTATTTGAAAAAAGTATTTCTATTGAATAGATCTTTCAATTTCTGAAATAAAAATGGTATGCTTCTGACAAAAAAAAAATTGAAGCGTCGCGACGCCCAGTGTCGCTTATTTATAACTTCCTTATCCATCCCAATTTTAAGCATTAGCCGGCCCAAATAAAATACTTTTCACAAAACTCAATTTGCTGCAGCCGTTTACGAGAAAAACTCATTTCCCATGATAAAAGAATCACCCTGTACATTAGAGTTCTTAATTGAAATTGAAAACTGCGTAGAAACCGAAATTAAAGACTTAAAAAAAATATTAATTGCATAATTAGCTAAATAACTAAATAAATCAAAATAATTATTGTTAGTTTCTGATAAATCTGCATATAGTTGTTTATAATTAAATGAGGCAATTTAAAATTTCCTAATTGATGACTTACAGTATTTACAAAAATTGACGTCATCATAATATTGAAACTTCACAATTTCTATAAATAATTTAGTTTCTAACATCGATACCAAAAGATAATGAATAACATTTTTGATTTAATTTTTAGTAATATTGTAAAGCATTAAACTATTTTATTTAATAAAAATACTGCTGTGAAGAAAATTATGCTAGTATGTAAATTCTTAATAACAACAGGCGAGCGTTTTCAGTTTTACAAAGCCATCATCATATCCTTCTTAGAAAAATATTGAAATATAAAGTTACAATTAAAACTATCCCTGTTAAATTAAATTATTTATATAGATGAAATGGTTGAAATGAGCTATAATACGTTAATCTCACCTCATTTTACTTAATAATCGACAGTTCTGTTTCTTTTAAATCTATATAAAAGAAGTCGGCAGCAATAATTGCAATATTGTGCCATGCGTACGTTTCTTTGTAGTTCTGCAATAACATCAATACGTCAAATGTTGACTAATTTATAATGACTTTTGTTAGGGGTTTAAATATAAAACTATTTTAAATAAAAAATATTAAATTTTTAGGCTTTATAACAGTATACGACATAAGAAAATACAACTGTAACTTTTGCCAATTTATCCAGTGTGGATAGACAAGGGATTAAAATTAGTGTAATTATGATAAAAATTGGACACTTAAATAATTGATCAATTTAATGAAAGTCAAAGTATCTAAGGAGTTGAATATCCTCTGGATGATATGTTTTTAAATTTTTATCTCAATTGCTTCATTAATTGTATGTGAGAGGTCATCATTAGTTATCAAATATTTTCGATTATTTAGAAAACAAAAAAAAAATAAATAACATAATTACAACTGACCTTTCTTGTGACTGCACTTTTTTTACATAAAAATAAGTTATATTTACTCTCGTGTCTTGCTAAAGCGAGATAAATAGAATTATATATTAAAAATATCCCATTTTTTATATGTATATGGAAAGTTCAAGGTAAAAAGGCAAATAAGAAATAAGAAAAAGTAATTTCTTTCGCTGATTATCCTGTAAATGTCTATCAACCTAGTGAACTACAACTGGGAGCCGTAGAGACAATCCATAACTGTTTGGATTTGCCCTCACAAATAACGTTATCTATGAACATATAAAAAAGTCATTTAAGTCATCAAAAATAAAATAAATCAAAAAGGCACCAAACTACGACTTAATTACGGAAAGATCCTACAAGATAAAGAAGTTGGAGCAATCAACTTAATCTGCAATACAGCCATTCAAAAAAAAAATGTAAACAACGTCCTGGAAACTAATTAGCTAATTACCATTATTTGGAATGCGTTTTAAAAAAAATTTACCATTAAAAACGAAACAAAACAAAAATATTCACAGTACAGTAATAAAACAAACAGAAGGTTTACATTTTATGGTAAATAAAGATATTATCTAATGAACCGGTACTTTCTAGTAGAACAACAAAACAAACATACAAACATATCGCACATTGAAAACAAAAGTGACACTTTACAAAAATTTTAAGTTTTTAGAAGAGCACGTTTTACCTTTTAATAATATTTTGACCTATAAAGTTTACTATTAAAATACAACTCAGTAATTCTTTTGGTATTAACGAAACTATTTATTATAGAAGAGGTTGATGGGTGTGTACACATTGGGTAATAAGAAATGAATCGAGAGAGTATTTAAAGGGTGTAAAATTGAGTTTTATTCAATAAAACTCTATAATGACAATGTACCAAAACAGAATGAGTGACAATTGACAATGAAGTTGTCAAGAAAAATGCCAACTTGAGAAATTGAAATGAATTTCGTGAAAAATTGTCAAACGTTGATATTGAAAATGATAAAAGTGTTTTTTTTTTGTAAAAAGTTTGATTTTGCGTTTTTTCTTTGAAATTTTTGCCAGTGCTGTAGATTTGAAGGCCCAATATTCTAAGAAGAAAAAAAAATTAAAGCGACCCCTTTAAAAAAAGTTGGGGTTGGATACCTTTTAACCCCCCGTATTTTTTCAAATAAATAAACTTGCTTTATCGATCTTAGAATCAAAAAGAACTATGAAATTTTATTTTTTTTTGTAGGGAAATGAACTTTGTATCTTTCTTAGTTAACAAGTTATTTACAATTTTTTAACTGAATTTCTAGAGCAATTCGTCCGTCCTGTACTTAACATATCAACAAAACTAAGAGTTTATATTTTTGCAAAAAAGGTATTTATAATATTGGATTGGCGCCATAAAAATGGTGTTCCACCCGTACTCATGGGTTCACCATGCCACTGATAAAAATACACGTTAGTTTGGAAATGTATTTATTAAATTTAACAGTAATTAAAAAATAGTTATTTATGCAACAAGTGTGTAAAGTTACCCTCTTTCGACGAATGTGAATGTTGTCGCACGAGCCGTAGGCGAGTGCGACAATCACATGAGTCAAAAAAGGGACTTTACACACGAGTGGCATACAATATTTTTTCTAGTACCGTACACATAATCCACTAATATTAGAAATATAAAAGTTACTTTTTTTCACTAGTGAAAAAAAGTACTTTACTTTACGCACTAGTGAAAAAAGTAAAATGTGCCAAAAATTGTACACAGCAACAAAAATAAATTTATTGGAACTTTACAAATTTATAATTCTTACAGAACAAAATGACTAACAAATGAAGAAATATCTAAAAAAATAGGTTTTTAACTCTTATGAATATTAATATTGAATGTGCAATTATTGCAATTACCAAAACTTAAGGTTTTGGCCTTTTCCAGCACAGAGTTTGAAAAATGTTGTGATATTACTTCTGTAACCCTATTTTGAGCTTCGAGTGGTATGGATTTGGCCTTTTCAAGTAAAGAGGTTGAAATATTTTGTGTAACTCTAGTTTCACTGTCGAGTGGTTCCACTAATTCTTCATTAGAGTTGTCAACGGTAAAATTGTAGCTTTGTTTGGAAGTAGATGGCATACTGTCATCCATCAAAATGTTATTAGAAATTTTGTTTTTTTGTGTTATTGTGCTATCTACGTAGCCTTCTGCAACAGCAGATGATTTCCATCCTCCATGTTTTTTGACCGTTAGAAGGTCTCCTCTAGAATTTGCCAGCATAGTGGCTGAAGACCTCCTAAAGCAGTGTCATGTAAAAGCCGTTGGATTGGGCAAGTTTAGATACGTTGCTATAACACTTGGTATTTTACCAAAAGTATTTATCCCTACAGGCTGTTTAGAATATTTCCAATTTGCGAATTTAAAAAAAAATCTGTTACAATTTATATTTGATGGTCTTAATGAGGTATATTTTTTTATGAAAGATAAATAATCAACTGCAGAATTATTTGGATTAAAAATCGTAAAAATGCGTTCTATTCCATTTTTGGTTTCTGATACTTTGACAATATAATCTGTTTGTTTATCTTCCACATCGTTAATTGTCATTTTACATAATTCTTCCCGGCGACAAGCTCCCGCAATTCCAATTATAAAAGCTACCTAAAAAATAACTTATTGTAATGTTACAAATAATTTATTAAACATTAGGAAATATCTTGACGTTGTGCATGTAAAACTCCAAATAAATGCTATTGTAAAAAATATAAAAGTTTTAGGTATAATGTGCTGCCTAACAACCCTGGTGGCCTGTTAGGACAGCTACTGATTTTGTTAGGCAACACACCATACGAACACACATCTCGTTGCAAAACTTTACAGAATATTTTAATTTTATAATGGGCATTATTTAAGCATTTACTGAGGCATTTACTTACTTTGATCATTAAAAACTTGGAATCTGGAGCTTTCAACAGAAAATTAATTAGATCTTCTCGTTCAAAAATTTTTGATTTTTTTGGTTTATAACCTTTGTTTTTTTGTTTGAGAAACGCTATTAACTTGTTGAATTTCGAAATATCAACGTTGTTTTTATATTTTAAGGTGCTTTTAAGCATAGAATAAATCGACCATAGGATAGAAGCTTTGCAATTCTTCAATTCATCAGAGAATTATGCTAAAATAACGTTTTCCGAATATTTTGTCACCTTATTCTTCCTACACCATTCTATAAATGCATTGTATTTTTGCTGATAAATATATGCAGATTTTTCTGGCAATAAATTTTCAGTGGCCTTTTGTGCACTGCATAAAATATCTGGGGAGTATTATCAAATTCGCTATCGCTAGATAAATTTGAATCCATATCGATTATGACAGATATAATAAACTGCAAATAAAATTTGAATTTAAGTTAACAAACATTAAAAAGTAAAACTTTTTACCTTCTCAAACTTGATTGAGTTTAAAAAAATGCTAAATTGGCTTTAGAATCTAATCTTGAACTTAAATATACTTTTGTCGTGTTCTGTTATAAGGTAGGTACTAATTAAAAGTTTAGAGATTGACAGTTCTTCTAATCCACACAGCCACGGCCAACTTACTTTTACCAAAATCGACATCCATTGTATGTTTACTTTTAATTAAATCGATGACATTTAGAGAAAATTATGATTAAAATAAACTGTTGATAATTTGTTGGACACTAAATAGATATAAGCATAAATAATTTATTTATTTGTCTTAGAAGGAGATAGCAAAAAAATGTTATTATAAAATAAAACGTTATATTTTGTTGTTATGTACAAATTTTGTCAAATTTTACTTTTTTTAAATAGTGCGTAAAGAGTTTTACTTTACGCACTAGTGAAAAAAAGTACAACTTTACACACTTCGCGTACGCACGGTAGTAGAAAAAATATTTTTTTAAACAATTAACAAAAAATTAACAAATAAAAATAAACACAAAGACAATAATTATTTCACCTATTTTATAAACTATTTAATTTAGTAAATGCTCAACATGTCCTGCTCCTTCTTGAAAAATATAAATAAAAGAGGTAAGTTTTGCAGGGACAGTTCAAGTACAGCCCTAGGCACACCACTGATTTTTATATGCGTTTTTTGTACAATAACTCCTGACCTACTCTTAGTTTTGTTGATATATTAAGTCCAGGACGGACAAATTGCTCTAGAAATTCATTTAAAAAATTGTGAATAGATCGTTAACTAAGAAAGATACAAAGTTCATTTCGCTATAAAAAAAATTTAAAATTCTTTTTAATTTTAAAATCGATAAAGCAAGTTTCTTTATGTCAAAAATATACGGGGGTGTTAAAAGGTACCCAACTCCCCAACTTTTTTTAAGGCCAACTTTTTTTAAGGGGGTCGCTTAAATTTTTTTTCTTCCTAAGAGGTAGTTTTTGCAGAAACGGCTCAAGCACAGCCCTAGGCACACCACTGATATTTATATGCGTTTTTTGTACAATAACTCCTAATTAGACATCTACTTTTTGAAAAAATAATGAATTGTTACTTAACGGCTCATTTTAGATACCATGTGTGATACACAAAGTCACACTAAAATTGACCGAGGAATCCAAATAAGCAATAATATACAGGGAGTTGTTCCTATTAAAAAAACATAACTTTGATATAAATCACCCTGTAGAACAATTTGAATTTCATCGAAAATATTTTTAGGTTGTAGCCTTAGAGGTCCTACACCATCCCCTAAAAATTAATTTTAAAAATGTATCTTAATAAACCCGCAATCTTCCACCCACGCACTAATGGCCCACCCTGTTTTATATATCTAATTTAAATTAGGGGAGCGGACAAAGCTGTCCAATTTTCCGCTCGGCGAGCGACGAAGCCGTCACTTCGCGGAAAACGTCAAACTTGCGGTTGAATTTCGAAGCGCAAAAGCCTACTTTGAATAGTGATCGTAGAAAAAATATATTTGTTTTAAATTTCTTGAAGTTTTTCTGACACTTTCACTCGTAATAAAAAATCCTTATTAAATATGCAAAAATCTATAATCTATTTGTTTTTCTTACCAGAAATAGCGGCTAGCATTTGCGGAAAAGTCCGCTTTAACAAATTAAAAAAATTATCCTCCGTCATTTTTCACATGTTATGTCTTCACCGAACAGAAAATCTTTGATACTTTTATAAACTTCTAATGAATAGTAAAAAAAAAAACGTTATCGACGTTACGGTTCAACAAATAATTACTTGGCATTTATTACAAAGCTCTCGTTTATAGTCTGGGTATTAATGTTATTTCATTGTTCGAATTCCACGGATTTTTAAAATTAGGTACGTTTTATGTTAGGGATTTTTTCACGCGTCTCATTCATATAATTTAATATTTTTTTAAAACTTACTTTTTATGTAGCAACGATTTTCACGATCCGTTGTTGTTTTCTTTTGAGAAAACATTCTATAAGGGGTTTATAATAGGCGTTTATTAATAGGCATTTATTAATAAGAGTTTATTAATAGGCGTTTATTCATAGGCTTTTATTAATAGGCGTTTATTATTAGGCGTTTATTATTAGGCGTTTATTAATAGGCGTTTATTATTAGGCATTAATAATAGGCTTTTATTAACAGGTCATTATTATTAGGAGTTTATTAATAGACGCTCATTAATAGGCTCTTATTAATAGGCGTTTATTATTATTACAATCTGACCAATAGTTGATCCAATGAGTAATTTTGTTCTAACTTAAATTAAATAAGGTTGCAATCTTAAAACCTAAATTTCTACTCGGTAGTATACCTTAGAAGGCCTGCACAACATATATTTTTAAATACCGCTAGTGTACAAGGGTCAAGAGAATCGTGATCTTATAAAGCAGATGAAGGTGGTCTGTCCAAATTCTAAAAAAAGTCACCAACTCCAGATCCTTCTATCGAGTTTCTTAACAAACAAAGAAAAAGGTCCTCACCTCATAATTTTATAACGTAAGTTAACCAAATATGGACAGGTCTCTTAATATGGGCCTTTTCCAATTTCAACTATAAAATTTACGTCATGAGAAAAGATGGCGCTCTGTCACAAGAAACGGATCCCGCGCAACTCGGTAGTCACATTTTAATGGGCGAACACGTTGTCAGTGCGTTAGAAGTAGCCGTAGAGTACTACAATTCACCAATTTTTTTATATAACATTTGTAAACGGCGCCTTAGGTGATATCTTCTGTGCTTTGGTGGTAGGAGTTTTGGCTTCCAGGTGAGATTTCACTTTAACATGTCTTTTCTTTGTGTTCTTGTTGAAATTTGTGCGTAACGTGATTATTGGGGTTTTTCCAATTTGAGAAATTGTTGAAGTATGCTCCTTATATGGGCACATTGAGCATTCTTTATATAGGCATGCCCATATTAGAATCAACGTTTTTTTACAGATAGTGAGGCCAAAAAAGGGAGCTCAGTGGACACAAAATGATTTAAGTAGTGCTGTTCTCGCTTGTCAAAATGGGATGGGCTATAAGACGGGCCTCCATAAATTATAACATACCCCGTGGAACACTACAGCGTCATGTTCAGAGTGACAATACTGTGAGACGACTAGGTCGAAAATCTCTATTGACCATCGAACAAGAAGATCAACTCTGTCGAAGTTGTTTTAGACTCGCCGAAATCGGACTTGCTCCTGACGTCTAAAATGTTAAGAAGAACCGTGCATTCTTTTTGTTTAGCAAATAATGTAACCCTTCCTGTAACAAAAAATTTGTCAAAAGAAAATCACAAAGTGTTAATCCTGCTCGAGCTGCCAAAATGAACAAATTCATTGTCGATGACTACTTTAATACTCTCAAAAGAACGTTGATCAAACTTGATATTATGGATAAACCACATTTGATCTTTAACATGGATAAAAAAGAATCAATTGAATCTCTACAGCAGCCTGAGGTTTTAACTCGAAAGGGTGTCAAAAGAGTACCACTTATCACTCCTGAACATGCAGAATGTGTGTCAATTGTGACCTGCGAAAATGCACTGGGTCAAGCTATTCCACCAGTGATTCTTTTTAAAGGCAAACGCCTTAAGCCAGAATATCAAGACAATCTTCTTCCAGGTAGCAAGGTTTTTATGACGATCAAGAAAGTATGACTTGCGAGGTCTTCGTCAAGTGGATTCATCATTTCGCAGAGTACGGTCCTGCAGGAAATTTACTGCTTATTTTGGATGGAGCTAAGTCTCATTTGGATGGAGCTATTTTGGCTGCCGCTGACAGTGATAACATACCACTTCTCTGTCTTCTGAGCAATTGTACACACGAATTGCAGCCAATGGACAAATCAGTTTTTAGAGCATTCAAATATCATTGGCAAGATGAATTGCAAATGTTCTGGGGAGTACATTCTCAGCAAAAGCTTACAAAGTCAAGTTTTGGTGTGGTGTTTTCTAAACTATGGCCTAATACTGTAACCCCTTCGAATATAACTGCAGGATTTCACCTCTTTGATCCCACAATCATTCCCGAAAATGTATATGCTCCATCTGCATTATCCCAGAAAAATCATCCGCCATCAAAAACGCCACTGGAAATTTTTCGACCTCGAGCAACATTTACTCCCAAGCAACAGTTGCAAATAAAAAAAAAGAAAACGTAAAGATTCAGCCAGCGAAAACAGTGACACAAGTTCATCTGAAGATGTCGAAGAAGACATTGTATCGACTACATCTGAGGAATTTTCGGATTGGAATAATAACGACACATGTAGCAAATCTATCGATAATTTGTTGCCAACGAGCGGGACATATCCAAGAAAAAAGAATCCTGGTATTGCTTTCTCTGTAAGGAAGAACAGCAACTAGACATGAGGCAGTGCAATGTTTGTGATCAGTGGGTACACGAAGAGTGTTACGGTCTAACAGCTAATGATATGTTAGTTCCATTTAAATGCCCTGACTGCGACGATGATTGAATTTCAATATTTTTTTGACTTAAAATAATCTTTTTTGTTTGTGAACATATTCTTTTCTAATAAATAAAAGGTAACAGCCGTACATTATAATGTTCTTCTAAAAAATTAAGTTTTTCTAAGGGTGCCCATATTGGTACTGACACATGCCCATATTTAGCACCCATGTCCAAAAATGATAAAATTTGAGTAATAATGAAATGCTAATTTTTTTCATTCATTTCTCTTTCATAGTCACTTACACACATCTGCTCTAGAATGCTTACCACTTTTGATATTAATTTATGGTGAAAAATGAAGCTTCTTAGAGATAGAATGCTGGACACCAAGTTGTTTATAAAAAAAAAGGTCGTCAGCGCTTATAATTTATCTCCTGCTCTCGAGCTGCTCAAAAAAAGGCCATCAGTTTAAAATAAACCAGATCCTTAATATCTAAATGCAATTTTATTACTGAAAATTGTATAATGTGACATAGGCGGGCCAAATTGGTCAACGGACAAAGGGCCAAGAAAACCACAATGGCGGGCCGTATGTTGTACAGGCCTGCCTTAGAGTTTGACAACTTAATTAGACACACTAAATCGCACAATGCTTTGCTTTGTTATTAACACAATCCCTTGGCTAACTCAAAAGGATTCATTCTCTTTAGTCTTCTTGTCAGATTCATGTTGTCAAAAAGCTAGATCGCCTCAACGTTCACATGTTGGTGGAGCCGTTGTTCGTGACTCCTAGCGAATCTGGTAATAGTCTGGTCAATAGTGTCCATCTGAAGGTCTCGCTGAAAGCCGCTATTTCTAATGTACTAAGGAGTATCGACAATGTTCCTCAACATTTTTTTTTCTGGAATCTCTGGAATATAAGAATATTACTGTTTCTACACAACCCCAGAGCTGAATGCCATAGGTCCAAATTGTTTTTATGAAAGAATTTTATTAAATGTAGATAGGTTGGAATGCCTACCAAGTAATCAATACATTTTCTTGAATTTTATATCTTACTTAGATATTTTGGTGAGTTAACACAAGGGATCTGGGAATTATTGATCTTAATTGGCATTCGTTGACCATTTTTGTTGGTAATATTAATATTAACAGATTTGGTTTCATTTTGTTTAATACGCCACTATTTGGTTCAGTTATTTATTTGATTAACTGATGTTTGTAATTATTTGCAGCTTGTTCATGATCTTTTCCTATCGCTAAGATGGCAGTATTATCTGTTGTTGTGATGATCGATTATACACAAGGGATAGTTGGTGATCCATACAGACTTTTAATTTCTAATTTCTGATTAGTGCAGAAACATCAAATTTAGGTTTCATGTATGTTTCTATGTTTCTGACATTAATGATACGTCCCTACGATGTTTCTCAAGAACATTTTGGAGCAACATCACAGGATGTTCCACAAACATCTCTGCGAAACGTCTCTAATACGTTAAAAATGATGTGTTTATTGCCAGAAACATCCCTGGTACGTTTGAGGGAAATGAGAAATATGATAGAGACGTTTCTAATGTCCCAAGTGCATGTTTCTGGAACGTTCGTGTAACGATACTGTGCTATTAGGGGTATTACCTGTCAAACTCTTAGTTTTTAGTTGAATAACAGTTCAGTTTCGTATTTTCAGTTTATTTTTTCTTTGTTGTGTTGAAAATCGTTTGACATATTTGTTTTTCTTTATCTTTGTGGGTTTAAAGGAGCTAGGGTTAGATATAGTCCAGAACATTGCTTTCCTTGTGTTCTTTGATTAGTTTTACCTAAATTTCCTATCAAGTATTTCTGGGGAACATCTTTCTATTATAAAACAAAAAGGGTGTTTCGCCACCTAGCTAGAGTTTATTGTTCTAAGATAAAGTGGTATCAGGTTCTTTCTCTTCTATGCATAGTCTATAGTTTTTTAAATAAATATTGTGTATTTCCACCACATAAAGGTTTTCAAGCAAGCAGTATCTCGTTAGTAATCAAAAAATGGTGGATATTTGGGCCCTTGCGAGCTGTACTACCTCAGCAGCGAGGGTTTAGACTCTTTAGTATGACTTTACTAATTATGTTTCCTCTTAGATATTGCCAGTGAGTTTGGTATTTAGTTATTCATCTTTTCACTTCCTGTCGAACAGAGATTTTTAATCCCAAACACAGGTTTGGGTCCTGTGAATGATAGTTCTGATCCCGCTTTGGCAGTTTAATCAGTTAATCTGGTTAATTTCATTGGAAACCCTTTAAGTTCTTATACTCACCCTAATTTAAGCTTAATTT